AAAGGGTAAGAACAATATTCAGTGGATAGATTATATTTTTGAAATATGATTAACATACAATAATAAAATGAAGCATTCGGCGACTGGCTTCACCCCAAAGGATGCCAGAAAACTGAGCAACGAATTAAAAGTTAAACTGCATTTAAATATGAATGCTAAACGAAATCGGGTATATCCTGAGTTAAGTGTTGGTGACGAAGTTAAAATATTTAGGAAAAGGAAACCGAATGAAAAAGAGAGAGTTGGTAATTTTAGCCAAAATGTTTATACAATAGAAAGAATTGACAAGAAGTTGGGGCAGAGCTACTATTTTGTGGAAGGGGTGGATCGGGCGTATTTGCGGTTTGAGTTGTTAAAGGTGTAGTTTTTCCTGCATCTTTGAAGTTGTGGGGGTTTTCGCAACTTGAGTTGTAAGTTGTTTTACAACCAACAACTTGTAGTTGTAAGTGGTTCATCCAATTGAAATTGAAATCGCGAAGTGTTCTGCTCCAAGTTGAGAGTGGTTGCAAAGAGTCTGAATTACAGCATTTTGGTAAAGGTATTTGGCGTTATGTTTGTTGGATGTGTTTTTGTGCTGTCAGCTCAAACTGAACAAGTGTGAGTAGGGTTCACAAGCTGCCAAGAAGTAGCACAGTCTTGTGGACATATTTGTTTGCTGTTGGGTTAGGCAGAAGTATCTTTGCCTAGGTTTTACGTTGCCATGTGTTGATGCAAGACTGGCAATGGCAGAGCCTGCGAGCAAGAAGCGGCGGCTTGAGGATGTTTTGCCAGCGGAGGTGCCTGACTGGATAGAGGAAGGACTCAAACAGTTGCATCTGGAAGCAGGTCACGCACAGGCCGCGCGAGCTGCCCTGAAGCACTTCACCCGAGAGGCTTTGTCGCAAAGCACGCTGCAAAGCCTGGACTATGCTCTCGAAGAAGCTTTTCCAGACAAGGCCCTTCGGAAAGCTGTCGTGTGCGCCCTGCATGGCTGCATAAATGGGCCTTTGCCACCACCAACTTCCGCTACTTTGATTAAGCAGTAGTGTTTGGTCCCTCCTCCGATAGGCTTAGTTGATTACCTTACTTATTGGGTTTAGGGGTTGGCTCTTTGGTTGTGCGTAGTGGTTGATTCCTCCTAGGTTTGGCTTCCTCGTAGGGTTACCCGATAGGGTTAGTTGATTGGGTTGCTTAGTCGGGTTTAGGGGTTTTCATTTGTTGTGGGCGAGGCTGAAGCACAGAGTCCTACCGCGGCATTACCAAAGCCCACAGAGGCGGACGTCCAGGTGCCCCATTTGGAGGTGCTGGAGGTGAACAAGCTCTTGGACGTTTCAGGTTTCACGAAGTTGTGCCTTGGATGGTTTCAGAGCTTTTCTTGGGGGTTGTGTGTGTTTTTGTTGTGTTTCAGTTGTTGTTCGGTTCTGTAAGGTTGGCATCAAATACAGAGGCCACCCGACCCATTTTTCTGCGCAAACACTTGCTCGATGTGCACAAGGTGGCGGTTGATGTTTTGTCCGCTACTGTTGAAAAGGATACCAAGCGCTTGGTTTCCTTGGTTGGATGTCCCGGAACTGGCAAGACTTGGCGCGGCTGGTTGGTTGCCCATGCCTTGCAGAAAGCAGGGAAGTGCACGCTGCATGTCACCATCAGGGGCAACGAGGTGATTGCGGTGCCCGAGCTCAAGAAGAAGAAGTCGTATGAGATCGCAGATTGGAACTACTTCATGCTGAAGCAAGTCCTGACTAAGAACCACTGCGATGTCTGCATCATCGATGTGGGGAACAAGACCCCCGCCGAATCAAATTACATTTTTCAAGGCGTGCGCGCCATTCTGGAAAGCAGCGCTGAGCCGAAGCCCTTCCCGGAGGTCAAGCTCATGGGCTTGGTTTCTGGACATGGCGAGGAGACCATAGTCGGCAAAGATGGGTTGGACGAGTGCACCCAAAGGCTGGTTCTGTGGAGTTGGTCCGAGCAAGAGTTCAACGCTTACTACGAGGCTGTCAAGAAGGATGGCAAAGCCGAGCCGTTGCGTGAGAAAGCCTATGGCACATGTGGAGGTTCCGTTCGTTACTGGTTCAAGACCGAGAGGGACCAGGCTAAGATGGACAGGGACGTGGAGCAACTAAGCCCTCAAGACACGCAGAGATTTCTGACTCCAGATCATCGCCCCACCTCGAACGCAAATCACCACGAGCACTCGCGATTGTTGGCTTTCTTTCGCAAGCCGAAATTGCCCGAGGATGACTTCAAGCGTGGTGTTGTGTCCGCTTACATCGTGCCTCGCTCAGAATACGTCATCTGCAGCATCAGAGCACACAAGAAGGGCAGTTTCTCCCAGTTCAAAAGCATGTATGAGGTGCTGCTGCCTCTGAACCCGGGCGCTGCAGGAACGCCGTTTGAGATTCTCGTGCATTACTTCTGGGAGGAGCGCGTCAATGAGAAGGGCAACACGACGTTGCAAATGACTGACCAGCATGGCGAGGTGCAGACAACCATATCAGTGAATTGTGCTGAGTTGAGGCCTGTGGCTGAATGTGATCCTGTTGAGTCTTGGGACG